TTGTGGTAAAGTAATAGAATATTATTATCCCATAAGAAATGATGAAATAATTTCAGAGGAAATCTGAAAGACTTCTGTAAACTGATGCAAAGTGAGCAGAAATAGAACAATTCATACATTATAGAGAATAATAATTTTGAAAAACTTTGCAACTCTGACCAACTCAATGACAAACCATGAGTCAAGAATAAAGTTGAAACATGCCATTCAACTCCTGACAGAGGTGATTAACTTAAAATGCAGACATATATATTCACACATGGCCAATATTAGAACTTATTTTGCCAATACAGCTATGTATTGAAGGCTTTTTTTTGGGGGGGGAGAGTTGCAGGAGGGTAGCAACCAACTGAAAAAAGCAAAAAAAAAAGGATTGAATGGTTGCTGATGTCCTTCCCAAATCTCAATTCCTGTATTTAGGGTATCAATCTTGAAATTATTGCTATAATCAAAACTAGAAGATCAAGTTGAATGTAAATGGAAGAATGACTCACAAGTTTTGTGTTTTGAAGCTGTAAATGAAGGAGTTAGTTGGGGTTAGATTTCCACAGAGGACAATGAGCTGGGTCCAAATTTGAGTAAGAGGAAGTAAATAAGCAGGCTGGAATTGCCTTTGGTAGACTGCAAAATTCTTTTTAATGCCATCAAGCTACTCCATGAAACCAAGGCTTATCTTTTTTTTTTAACTCATTAAAAAATTTTTTTTCTTTTATTAATTTATTTTGACTTATCAACAATCACTTCCACAAGCTTTTGAGTTTTAAATTTTTCTCCCCTCCCTCCATCCCTTCCTAAGACAGCTTGCAATCTTATATAAGCTATACATATACATTCCAATTAAGCATATTTTCACATTAGTGATGTTGTAAGGAAGAATCAGAACCAATAGGAGTAACCATCAGAAAGAGGAAACAAAGCAGAAGAAAAAAATTAGCAAATAGTATGGTTCGATCTGCATTCAAACTCCATAGTTCTTTCTTTGGACGTGGATAGCATTTTCCACCATGAGATCTTTGGAGATGCCTTAGATCCTCCAATTGTTGAGAAGGGCTAAGTCTATCAACTTTAGTCATTGCACAACGTGGCTGTTCCTGTGTACAATGTTCTCCTGATTCTGCTCACTTCACTCAGCATCAGACCATTCAAGTCTTTCCAGGTTTTTCTGAAGTCTGCCTTTCATTATTTCTTACAGAGCAACAGTATTCTATTACATTCGTATACCACAACTTGTTCAGCCATTCCCCAATTGATGGGCATTCCCTCAATTTCCAATTCTTTGCTACCACAAAAAGAGCCACTATAAATATTTTTGTACATGTGGGTCTTTTTCCCATTTGTATGATCTCTTTGGGATACAGCCCTAGAAGTGGTATTGCTGGGTCAAAGGGTATGTACATTTTTCAAGCCCTTTGGGCATAGTTCCAAATTGCTCTCCAAAATGGTTGGATCATTTCACAACTCCGCCAACAATGCATTAGTGTTTCAATTTTCCTACATCTTCTCCAACATTTATCATTTTCCTGTTTTGTCATGTTGGCCAATCTGACAGGGGTGATATGGTACCTCAGAGTTATTTTGATTTGTATTTTTCTAATCAATAGTGATTTAGAGCATTTTCTCATATAACTATAGATAGTTTTAATTTCTTCATCTGAGAACTGCCTGTTCATATCCTTTGACCATGTATCAACTGGGGAATGACTTGTATTCTTGTAAATTTGACTTAATTCTCTTTATGTTTTAGATATATGTTATCAGAGACACTGCTTGTAAAAATTCTTTCCCGATTTTCTACTTTTCCAAGGCTATCTTTTAAACAACAATATTCATCCAAGTGATGTCTCATTTCCAGTCATGGAACACTAGTTTCTGAAGAACTTAACAACAGAGTATGTGAGTGTGTATGTGTGTGTGTGTGTGTGTGTACACAAACTGCAACACATTCCAAAGGCGGCATGGATGAGTTGTGAACTGCATTGTTGGAGGAATACCCATGTCAATAATATCACAGATCCACTGGAGTAGAGAAGCACTCTTGCCATAGTTACGTCATGTTTAATCATATAACAACCCACTAAACATCCCTAATGCTTAACGCTAACACCCTGTCAAATGCAACCAATTGCTTCTGTAAACATTTTTAGAAATTTCCTTAAAGCTTTCACTGGTATCACTTTTTAAAAAAGTACGTCAATTCTAGACTTCTGGAAGCAGCTATCAAAGTAGTTAACAGAAGTTTAAGGCACGATAAAACAGTATCAAAAAATTTAGAGTTTACAACTTACTTTTAGTAGATTATTTAAAATAATTTTTTCTCATTCTGAACTTAATACTAAAAAAAAGCCCTTCCGTATACAAAGTGGTACAGAAAGAGGACTAAGTGTGAAACCACGAATCTGTATTATGTAGAGCTTGCTTTCAAAGTTATAATAAATTCAACTTTATTTTTAAAGCTGTTGAGCATTTTTCCTTCTGTTCCCTTCTATGCATTTCTCAAAAAGCTCCAATGGTCTCTTCTCTTTATTTTTTTGGTAATACTATCAATAGTTCTCCACTCCCCCCCCAACCAAATTCACCTCCTCCAATTAAAAAAAAAAAAAAGAAAAACAATCCTTGTTACAAAAAAGCATAGTTGAACAAAACAAATTCCTACATTGGTTACAGCCATAAATATGGATTTCACTCTGTATCTTGAGTCCATCACCTCTTAGGAGGTAGGTAGCATATTTCATCATTGGTCCTCTGGTAACAGACCATTTTCCAATTGATGTTTTGAAGGAAGATAATTTTTAACTGAGTGGCTTACATGGTTGACCCAGAGACTAGAGGTTAATTCTGGATTTGCCAGGGGAAAAGTGTCTTTAAATTTTCTCAGAAAACTTGTAGTTAAGTGAAGACATATGTGACGCAAAATGATGTCGGCATAACCAAAAATTTATACAATGGCTATACTGTACATGGAAAAGAAATGGAAAAAATGTTAGTAAATGCTACATAATTATAATGACCAAGCTTGGCCCCAAAGAGGAGCTGTAAGAATATACCTTCTTCCCTTCTTTGCAGAGGTATGAAATACTGCACACATTGTCAGATTCAGCTGATATGTTGGATAGTTTCTCTGAACTGTTTCCCCCACCCCCCATTATTATTATTATTTTTTTTTTTTGGTGAGGCATTTGGGATTAAGTGACTTGCCCAGAGTCACACAGCTAGTGAATGTTATGTGTGTCTGAGACCAGAATTGAACTCAGGTCCTCCTGACTCCAGAGCCATTGCTCTATCCACTACGCCACCTCACTGCCCCTCCATTATTCTTTATTATTAAGGATAACTGTGAGCTGGAGAGTATAGAGAGCAATATTAGAAAATGAAGATATATATTTTTTTAAAGATGTATTTGTTGGAAGAACGGTACACTTAAGGAACAGCCAATTTCTACAATTCTTCCTCTTTACAAAAAATGATGTTACGTAGTGGGAGTACTTAAGCTTCGCCAAGCCTTTACATTGGCAAGGCATCCATAGGTCAATACCAACACATTTCTTAAGAACTTTAGTTTATTTCTTTTTAGACTAAAGGTTATAGAGCCTCTTTGCTACCAAACAGGTTAATTTTTCTTTGCCACTTTTCTACCTGTGTGGCATTGAGTTTCCAACTTATATTTAGTAGACTATTTAAAATAATTTTTTTCTTATTCTGAACTTAATACCAAAAAAAAAACCCTTTTCATATACAAAGTGGCACAGAAAGAAGATTAAATGTGAAACCATGAATCTGTATTATGTAGAACTTGCTTTTACTAAAAGTTAATTAATATGCTACACGTAGAAAAGTAGTAAAGAAAAATTAACCTGTTTGGTAGCAAATATATTTTGGTGAGAAAATGAGAGAGTTCAGACAAAGATACAGGGTGGTGCTGAAAAGAGTATCATCTGCCAGCCATGTAGCTTGTGGATTCAGGTAACTGTTACATGGCATAAAACACTTCTCAACACCACCCTATATCTTTGCCTGAACTCTCATTTTCTCACCAAAAGCTATAGAATCTTCCATGCCTAATAGTTTTCAGTGTATTTTTCTCACCTTCAAACTAGTTCCATTAACTGAAGTATGGAAACAGTGCAGGAATTATCTGAGACTAAGACATTTTTATTTAAGTTGAAGGGTAGGATACTTAAATGTCATCTAGCTCAGACTACCAAACACTATAAAACCAGGGCTTAAAATTAAACTGTAACTGGTAAATGTTTAATAAAATAAAAATACAACATAATGTTTATTTGTGGTTTTCTAAGCCAGTATGTAGCTTGAAGTTTCTATTTGAGTCTGACACCATTGGTCTAGTTCTACTCCCCTCATCTGCAGATGAGGAGATCAAGGACCAGTTAGATTTAGTGACTTGCAAGCAAAAGAGATGGGATTTAAACGCAGATCTTCCAACTCTACCACCCTTTGTTTTATGTGAGCACTCTTTTCCACCTTAATTATAAGGCAGAAGTGTTTCCTTCTGAGGAACATAATGATTAAAAATGCTGTACTGTAGACAATCCTACTATCAGACCTTCAGTAAGGAGTATCTACTGAAATTACTATAATAGAAGATACTAAGATTTTTTTTCAGTCATTTCAGTCCTGACTCTTTATGATTCCATTTGGGGTTTTCTTGGCAAAGATATACAAAGATAGAGTAGTTGCCATTTCTTTCTCCAGCTTATTTTACAGAAGGAAACTGAGGCAACAGGGTTGGTTAAGTGACTTGCCCAAGATCACACAGCTGATAAGTGTCTGAGGCCAGATTTGAACTCGGGAAGATAAGTCTTCCTGATTCCAGGCCCAGCAGTCCTATCCACTGTGCCTCCTACTTGCCCCAATTAAGATATCTACCTTGAAAAATTTTTTCTTCTATAAAGTGAATCAGCTTTGTTCTTAAACACAAATAGAAATTTCTGCACCATTGTCAACCAAGGTTAGAATAAGATGCCGAAAAAGAGTCTAGCATATTTGTGACATGCAAGAAAACACATTTTTAATGGCTTTTTATCAATATGTTTTGGTTAGTGTTATTTCTCAACTGACAACATATCCAAAATAATAAAACAAGTTGTTGGTATTTATTTTTCACTACTAAGGCAACTCCCAAGGTACTCTTTAATTTGTTCTTCCTTAACACAAGTCAGGGTCCAGGTCATGCTATTCTACACAAATGTATCATGTTCTTTGACTCTGTAGTGGGATCATCACTAGGCAAGGGTTGTTACAAACATATTAGCTTCCTACTCCTTGCAATGAGTTTAAAACTCCATTTACCTTGTAGTACTCCAACACAGATTCTGAAAACCCCTTGGGGAAGTTATGAAGTTATGCTTTTGCTAAGTTTAATGTTTTCTCCAATTCTTTCAACTGCAGATTGCCTTGCGTAATCATCATTCGGATTATATCCTATAGAAGAAATTAAAATATAGTTAAGAGGCACATTGAAAAAAATAGGGCAGAGTAACTACCACCTCATTATTTACAGATGGCTAAAATCTAAGAAAGAAGAAAACAATTAAGTGTATCAAACAATGTGTGACATTTCTTCCTCTTCTCTCTTCCTCCGTACTTTCTGATTCATAATTGTGTAGGAATCATTTCAAAAGTGGTAGTACCTGCTGAATAAAAATTGCCTGAAAATATTTAATTTGAAAAAAAATCCAATGGACTCACTTTAAATAAAAATGTATTTCCTATCACATAGGCCAGAAATGTCAAACATGTGGCCATTACAGCCCACAACCCTCTCAAGTGCAGACTGAGACAGATAAAATTTAATTGGGAAATATTTAACAAAGTAAATAAAAATACAATAAAATCTAGAAAATATTACATTTTGAAACTAATTCAACATATAAACCTGCTAGGTTCTTTATGTATAGATTAGGGGCCCAAATGTCTATTTATGTTTGACACCACTAATGCAAGTAATTCCTTCAAAGAAGTAGAAAACAAAGCTTTAAAAGTTTTTTTTTTAAAAAGTACTTCAGAGAAAAAAGGCACTCAAAAAATGTAACACCTCATAGAGAAAGGCTTAACTCAAGTAGATAGTATTCACACTAAATGAATTAAAAATTTTGATTTAAAGCTTACCAATCATTGAAAAGAAGCTGAACAGTAGTGAAAGGGGGGGCTGCTGCCACCAGGCCGAGCTCTTGAGCACCCTTACCTCTTCTGTGGCACTTTTATTTCTTTTGAATTCTTCCCTTGCCCAGTTCTGTAGATACTTTCGATCTTGTTCGTTTGGTACCTGGCGAATTGCTTGTAAAATCTTTCTGTATAGAAGAAGGACTTGTTGCCTTCTCATGAACTGTTTCAGAAAGGAGAAATCTGAATTACACCTGAACTTCTAAGTTACAGTTAAAGCTGAAAAAGGCCTTAGAGACCATCTAGTTGAAACCATTCATTTTTTTAATCAAACATTTATTTTTTTCTCCCTCCCACCTCCCCACCAGCTACTGATAAAAATAAGCTCTTGTAACATATATGTATTGTCAAGACAAATTCCCACATTGGCCACATCTAAAAACACGTCTCAAACCCCTTCATTTTTCATATAAACTGAGGACCAGAAAGGTGAAGAGATTTGACAAACATCATATAAGTTGTTACAGGCAATTCTGGGCCTAGAGCCCAAATCTCCTGATTCAGTCCAACATGCTTTCCACTACAAAACCACTGCTTCCTTTGGTGTCTTGAGAAGTGAAGTCAAAACCAGTCATGCTTGTTCCTATTACACAAGTCTTCCACACCTTGCAACCTACTTTCTTGGACCAAATAACCCTTCCTCACTCTTCCCATATGCCTATTCTGCAAAAGCCAAGTTGTATAAAGGCAACTCTAATTATATGTACTTTTAAACGGAGTATAAAAGCCAAGGATTCTTATCTTGGCTCTTTTGATTCTGTGTATGAAGTTGGACAAGTTACACAAGTCTCACTTTCTTCCTCAGTAAAACCTGGAACCAGATGATCTAGATTCTAGAAAGTCCCTTACTAATGATAATCTTTTAAAGATTAGTATTTTGTAGAGGCAGTGAGGTGCACAATGGATAAAAAGGGGGCCTGGAGTCAGGAAGAACTGAGTTGAAATCTAGGCTCAGATACCCTCTAGCTATGAGACCCTGGCCAAGTCACTTCACCTGTTTGCCTCAGTTTCCTCATCTGTAAAATGCAAGTAGCAACAGCACCTACCTCCCAGGGCTATTGTGATGGTCAAATGAGATAAATGTAAAGTGCTTAGCACAATATCTAGCACATTGGAAGCACTACATGTTATTATGTTGTTTTATTATTATTTTTATTACTGTAAAGGGGCCAAGGTTCTAAATTGGCCTTTACTACTTCCAACATGTGTAATCTCCAGCAAATCACTCATCCTTTCTAGACCAGCCTGGCATGCAGTAGGTGCTTAATACATGCTTGTTCCCTTCCCTGTCTCATCTGTAAAATGAAAGGGGGTTTATCTACGCAATCTAAATATTCCAGCTTTAGAGCCCCTAAACATGAGACAACATCCCAACATTAACTGTGACCTGACCCCCTCCATGTAGTTAAGATCAGTTCTCAACCTTTTTGGTTTCAAGACCCACTCTTAAAAATTACTTCATAGCCCAGGGCTTGTGTTAATGTGGGTCATATCTATCGGAGATATTTACTCAGTCTTCGTGTCTGCAGTTAAATCTTTAATTCACAGTTCACATAATCTCTGGAAAACTCCACTGTGAATGAAGGTAAAAAAGGCAAATAACGCTTTAGTGTCATTATGAAAATAATTTTGACCTAGGAATCCTCTGAAGGAGTCTCGGGGACTCGCAGGGGTCCCTTGGGAGGAGTTTGGAACCGCTGGTACAGAACCTGAGCCGGAAGAGACCTCAGAGGGCATCCAGAACAACCTCTCCCCCTACCCTTTTTTGACTTTAACAGAAGAGGAAACTGAGGCCCAAGGAGGTCGAGTGACTTGCCCTTGTCACATAGGTAATAAGCATTAGAGAAGACTGGAACCCAATATCTTCCGACTCCAGAGTCAGGACTCTTTCCCTGGCATCATACTGCCTCCTACGTACCTCCCAACATTCAGTTTTAAGAGGATCAGTTTCTTCAGCTGCAAAATAGGGGCGGGAGGGGGTGCCACCTCCGCTAAGGAGCTTTATAAATGTGAGCGGTTCTCTGTTCTAGGGCTCCGAGGCCAGCACAAGCACGGACACGAGCACACACGCCCCCTGCCGCCAGAACCGAGCACTGGCCCGACGGAGGTACGCGCTGCACAGAGGAACAACCAAAAGAGAGGGGAAGCGAGGGGAGGGCAGACCACAAGCAGCGGCTGGGGTCGGGGCGCAGGGGCCCCGCGGGTACCTGTTTGAGGGTTAGCGCTACAGGGGGCAGGAGATTAGAGGACATGACGAGCCCGAGAGCCGGACTTGAACTCCCTCAACCGCCTTTCCCAGGTGCCTCGGTGATAGTGCGCAGGAGCGGAAGCGCGGTTTAGCTGACGGTTAGGCTCTCGCGAGGGACGCAGGAACAGCAGGCGGGGGGAGGGGGAGAAAAGGAGGAGGAGGAGGAGGAAGTTGGTGGGGTAGGGGGGCGGAAGCCAAACGAGGCGGGAAGCGAGGAGCTGAGAGAAAAGGGGAGGCGAGGAGGAGAGGGACTGGGAGGAAGGGGAAAGACTGGAGGGGTCGGGGAGAGGGAAGGGGAAGGGCCGGGGGGGGGAGGAAAGGGAGGGACTGGTGTAGGGTCGTAGGCCGCGACGGAGTGATGGGGGCAGAGACAGTGGGCGGGGCGAGCCTCGTTCTGGAACCCCGCGGGGGTTCTAACTTAGAAAATTCTCATTCAAGGCCCCGGTCCACAAGCCATCGACTTCGATGTGGGTGGAAGGCAAAAAGCCAGGCTCTAGTCCCCTCGTGACTGTGACCCTTTATGAATCTTTTAGTGACTCCACGCAAGTCAAGGGTCCTTGAACTTGAATATAATTTTTTTTTTCAAATTACATCTTTATTTTCACTGACCTCTAATTGAAATTTAGCATTTTATTTTATAAGTTGATTAAAACCAACATTTTTCTGAGTAGTCCATAGGCTTCACCCGTTTGCCTAAAGGGGTCTGGAACACACATATAAAGGTTAAGAACTGCCCCTAAGTTGCAAAGAATCAAGTATTAATAGCCTACTCTGAGCTCTTGTACAAAACAAACCTCTACTGGCGATGAGCTTATATTTTAATGGAGAAGACAAGAAACATATAGCATAAATATAAAGTGAATAAATACAGTTAAATACAAGATTGTTTGGAAGGAAGTGAGCTACCAAGGTTCGGGGTGTGAGACATGATCTCTCAGAAGTGAAGCCTCCTCAAAGGGTCATTGGTTCTTGTTAATGGTTCTGGTATTGTTGCTTTTGAGTGGTACATGTGTACCAACACTAAGTGAAGACCTCTCAGAATGCAAGACCCCCACCCCTAGCCTTTCTCCCTCTCCTGCTCTTGGATAGTGTTAGCAGAAATTCCTGAGACATGGGAGCATCCTAGCTATCTCGCCCTCTAGCTAGTTATATGACCTTGAGAAAAAGACTGCTGAAACTGTGAGGCCCTGAAAAGGGGAAGTGCTAACATAATTTCTATACCTCTCTCTCTGTTGCTGGGGTAGTTTACACGAATAGATTGCATACCTGAGGCTCAGTCAATGAGCTGACGAGAAGGGGGTTAGGGGGTGGGCTGCTACGTTGGGGTCTATGTAGTCTTGCCTTGAACAAAGAGCTCTCGAACTCTAGGGGCAGCTGAGGCAGCATGGGGGTGTATTTTCTAGAGAAAGTCAATGGAGAGATCTCTCCTTTTGCAAACTTTTGTCAAGACTCTGGTTTTTTTAACTGAGTGAAACAATGTCAACAATGTGAGATCTCTCAGATGGACTGAGTGTAGCAATTTCTTAGACTGTTACAAAGTCAAGGTTAGTTACACTAGCCTGAATAGGCCTAAGTTTCAGGTTCCTGGTTACATCAGCATTAGGTAATGGCTAATTACTAAAAAGGATAAAATAGCTAGGATTAGCAATAATGAGATTCCTTGTTTCTGGGGTAGATTTTCACGTTTTAGATTGTAAGGCTGAAATTCCTGTCCAATGGGAATTCAAAGCCAGTGGTGGGTGGGTATCTGTGTTAGGGCTATATAACCTTTGTCCTGGCCTTTGTGCCTTGCCTCACTTCGCTCAGACTGCCAGATGAAGCAGACACCTGCTTCTTGTGAGAATGTAATAAATCTTTCACTTTATACCTAGAAAATTTCTGAGTGTTATTTTTGGGTAGCTGTAGCACACAGGGGAATCTGGAAAGTTTTCATGAAGATGGTGTTTGAAGATTTAAAAAAAAAAGGACCCTTATAAAGGAGTGCGTTATAGGTATGTGGGATGGATCCTCCAAAAGGCACAGAGGAGGGTCCTGTTTGGGGAACAACGTTTGCCTCAATCACAGAATACAGGAAGGGTCATGATGATGTCCATTCTAGAAAGATAGTTTAGGGTCAGGGTGTGTATGGATTTAAAAACTAAACAGAGGCCAGAGAGATTTCCTCAGTGGGAACTTTTGACATGAGTGAAATTAGCCTTGGCAATTTTCAGCACAGACTGGAGGGGAAAGAAGAGGATGTTAAGGAGTTCTGAGATGGAGAATGAGGAACAGGAAGCTCATGGTGAATGGGTTGTGATGCATTGGGTATACAGACAACTCCTATTTTATTTTCTTGCTCACATCCCCTCTAGTCTTCTCCAGCAGATTGTGAGTCCACAATCTCATCCCTTCTCCAATCTTCAATCTTATCTACAGCCTCATTCACTGCCACTCACATACAAAATGAGGTCTCCTGCATCCTTAAAAAACCTTCCAAAGAACCCTGCCATTCCTCAAGCTATCTATTTTTTCTCTTTTTCTTCTCACAAACTCTTAAAGAAAAAAGCTGTCTATACTTGTTGCCTCCACTTCTCAACTCTTTGCAATTGAGCTTCAGACTCCACTCAACTGAAAGTTGCTCTCCAAAGTTACCAATGATTGCTGTTGCCAAATACTATGACCTTCGCTCACGCTTCTTGATTTTTGTTTGACACTGCTGACTACACTGTCTTGGATATTCTGACCTTTCTAGGTTCCTGTCACTGCTCTCTTGGCTCTCTCCTACTTGTATAACTTCTCTTCAGTCTCCTTTGCTGGCTCATCATTCACTTATCCCAAAGCTCTATGGTAGGTTCTTTCTCTCTTCACACTTCATTAATTCCTGTGGGTTCAGTGATCATCCTTTTACAGATCTATATATTCCTAAGTCCCTGTGTGGTCTTTTCACTCTGAAAGACTTTTCCACTATTCCGGAGCTCCTCCCTCTTTGGTCAGAACATACATGTCAAGTCATGTTCACTCATTCATTCCTCTCAGGGATCTGCTTCTTGCTTTTCAGATGTCTTTCACTTAGCCCTTATGCGGGTACCTTCTCTTCCTGTTTCCTCCCCCTTTGTTTTTCAACTTCCTTTTGTGTTTTCTTCATATGTTAGAATGTAAGCTTCTTAACAGCAGGGGCTTTCTGCTTCTCTTTGCATTCCCAGCACTTAACACAGTGCTAGGTACTCAGTAAATGGTAAATATTTGTTGAGTGGTATACTTCAGCTCCCCTCCCAATCTTCAGTATGACATCACCAAGTGCCTGTTAGACATTTCAAACAGAATATCCTGTAAAGATCTCAAAGTCAACCATGTTCAAACCAGAATTCATTATCTACTCCCCTCTCCCCATCCACTCCTCTTCCAAACTTCCTTATTTCTATCAAGAAAACCATTTTCCCAGTCATCCAAATTTACATCTTTCTGAGTCATCATCTCCTCTCGTTCACATCACATCCAGTCATTGGCTAACTTTTGCTTCTACCTCACAACATCTCTCAAATACATCTCTCTACTCATACAGCCACCACCCTAATTCTGGCCCTCATCACTGCATGTATTTTTATATGCACTTGTCTTCCCCATTAGAATGTAAGCTCACTGTTGTGGGGAGTTTCATTCTTTGTATCTGCATCCCTAGAGCCTAGCACAGTATATGGAGCAACATTGGGGTACTTAATATTCGATTTAGTCACCGATTCTCACCTAGACTTGCAACATATTGTCTGAATCTTCCTGCTTCAAGCTTCTCTCTGATCCATGTTCCACACACAGCCAGTGATTCTCCTGAAGTCCAAGTCCAAGCATTTCATTCCCCTGCTCAAGGAGCTCCATTGGCTCCCTACTGCTTCTGAAATCAAATACTGTACAAATATCATTGAAACCATTATTCCACCTCATACTCCTTAGTTTGTCAAATTGGCCTCCTTAATATATAGGATACTCCACTACTCCTAAATTGTACATAGTACTCCATCTATTGTTCCTGTGACTGCACTTGCTGTGCCCCTCCCCTCCTATCATGTCTGGAATGCACTGCTTAGAATCCCTAGCTTCCTTCAAAGCCCAGTTCCTAAGTACCACCTCTACACGAGGCCTTTTCAGCCATAATACTCCAACCCCCAGCTACCACTTCCTCCAGAAATTACCTTGCAATTACTTTGTAGGTATTTTGCATAGGCTGTGTCCTCTGATAGAATGTAAGTTCACTGAAAGTCGGTTCATTTGGGTCTCTAAATCTAATGCTTCGTATAGTACCTGACATCCAGTAGGTCAATACTTAGTAAGTGCTTATTAATTGATCCTTCACCTAGAAGATGGTCATCTACCTGAGAGCCAAAGTGGCTTCAGAAAGAGCTGAAATGGTGTTTGTTGCTCAACAACTCCGGGAGCAGAATAGTGGCCTGTACACAACAATCTGTCAATCTAATAAAGGTCTTTGATACTGTCAGTTGTCAGGGCTTGTGGAAAATTAGGGCAAGATTCGGTTGCCTGGAGTTCACCAGTATCATACATCAGTTTCATGACAACATACTTGCTTGGGTTCTGGATAATGGACAAAGCTCTCTCACTTTCCTGGTCACAAATGGAATGAATCAGAGCTGTGTGCTTGTTCCCATGCATGACATTTTCTGTGATGTTGTCGGAGGCCTTCACCAAGCGCGAAAACAACATCAAGATCAGCTACTGCACTGACAGTAAATTATTTAACTTGAAAAGGCTACAAGCCAAGACGGAAGTGGAGAGTTGTTGTGTGTCTTCTTCAAAGATGATTTGTACTCAATACAGCCTCTGAAGTTGAGATGCAACAAAACATGGCTCAGTTCTCTGCTGCTTGGCGAAATTTTGAATGCTGTAGATAAGTTCACTTATCTTGACAATATACTTTCTGGGGATGTACACATAGATGATGAGTTTGACACCAGTTGCCAGAGCTAGTTCACTGTTTGGGAAGCTCCAAAAGAAAGTGTGGGAAAGAAGAGATATTAGACTGCCTACCAAACTGAAGGTCTACAGAGCCATTGTGCTGACCTCATCGCTGTATGCCTGTGAAACCTGGACAGTATACCAGCACCAGGCCAGGAAACTGAATGACTTCCAATTGTCTTAGGAAGGTTCTGAATATCACCCAGCAAGATAAGGTACCAGACACTGAGGTTCTTTCTTGAGCTGAACTGCCAAACATTCAAACTACTGCAGAGTGCAACCCCAATGGGCCGGCCACACTGTTCAAATGCCAAAGGTATATTTGCTTAAAAGACTTTCACAGAGAA